GCTCCTTTCATTATTTGTCTATGTTGTTATTAGGTAAAAAAGCACTATTTTTTTCCTTTAGGAGATATGCAGCTCTCTATAAATTATAAATTGTGTTTATATGAAGTTTAGTTTGTTGAAAATATTGTTTTAATAAATTAGTGATAACTGATAGTTCTGTTTGTGGTTGGTTTTGCTAGAACATTGACAAGATAAATTAATTGAGTATCCAGAAGACTGATGAATGTGGATGCTAATGTATTTCATCATTATTCCAGAATTGCAGGTGTAACTGATAATACAGGATATTCGTGAGATCTAGATCGGAATATTCTCTATTATCATATACCAACATAGGAGAAGGAAAGAAAATGAAAAGCTCTTCACTTATTTTTTTATTAATTGAAACCTATTTTCTTATCCTAACTTCTTCGTTTTTTTACCTTAAATTTTTTACTTCATTATCACTTTTTTGAGCTTGATACAAAATTTTAAATCAATAAAGAACGGTCTACAAAGAGTTCAGTTAATACAATTAAATTTTTCATAAATAAAAAAGGTATAAAAGTATGAAACATTACCTAAATAAGGTAAGTAAGATTTACAATTCCATGTACATTAAATCAACCAACATAAATGATAATAATAATTAGAATACTATAACGAATTTTAAAATAATCAAATGTAATACACCGCCCAACGGGCGGGTAAAAAACTAGTATACTGTATGAGTATATGTTTGTGCTTTTTCGCCATTTGAAATGTCGAGTGTGATATCTTTATGATGCAATCTGCTCGTCACAATGCTTTGAAACTGGCTGCGTGATTGGTTCCCGAAAAAAATAAAAAGAGAAGTGCCATTCGGTCGTGATTGATTCCGGTAACATTTTCTCCCCAAGTGACTCTGTTTCATTTAATTGGACATTCGTTTGTCAATGCTGTACATTCTGTACAACTTGAATTTTCAGAAGTTGATGAAGTAGAAACATGCTTCTACATGTTAGCTTTCATGGATGGTTGGTTATTTCCATGGTGCACCTTGTATGTGAGGGAAAATAAAAAATCACCTCAATTTGGTTAAGTGATAATATATACTATTTGTAGTATTTGAAATGGGAATGAACTCATGAAGAGTTTAAGAAAATTCAAATATATATTTGAACTAGGAAGAATTCACGACGAATTCAAGAGAACCCCTCGAAGACTATGAGGTGGTTTGGATGGTGTTAACCTATGCAGAGGCTTGTGAAGACTTGTGGTCAAGTCTACTAAGCCGAAATGGTTGCAAATCAAATGCAAAGGTTATGTTCAATTTAAATTGTACATAGTACGAAAGGATACCTCCACTTTGTTGGCGATGGTATTTGATTAATGCACATCCAAAGAATTGCATTACGAGTAAGCCACAAGCGATAAGGAATGTTAATTCCTACGCTGCTTGTGAAGACATGATAATTTGTTTGTCATGTATGTGGTATAGGACTTGATGTTTCCTATGCCTTGAGAACAAGGAAAATGAGGCTATGATTGATCCTTATATGGATTGAATAAACTTGCAAAATGATGGTGGTTATTAAGATACGCATTAGTTCAGAATTGTTTATGGAATAAGTACACTATACCATTGGAAAACAATTTGACTATGATTATCAACGTGGAGCTAGTTGCCAGAATTGTTTATAATATATATAGATATATATCATTGAACTTAAAGTCTGAATAACTTATGGTATATTTATGAAGTTTATACCATTGGAAAGTAATTAGACAATTGAATTAGAAATTCGTTTGAATTACTTGTGGTACATCATGGTACATAGATGAAATGCCATTGGTAAGTAATTAGATGGAATTCCCATTACTGGAATGCATCTGAATTACTTATGACGTCTCAAGTTACCTTGATCAATACCATTGGTAAGTAATTAGATGATATTTCTAATAAAATCTGAATTGTTTGTGATATGCTAATCGAGCGAGCTCATACCATTGATAAACAATTAGATACATATAGTGGTTGGCAAGTTCAATAAATAAAACCATGGAAAATAAATGGGCAGAATTGTGGAGGAGAAGAGCTAGCCGTTGTTTCAGCTACTATCTCAAGACCCTACAATGAGATGTAAACCTATCCATAAGACAAAAGTGGGAAGGTGAAACAAGTCATACTTCAAAGTATGAAGGTGTACAGTGAGAAAGAGCAAGTCCATAAATCGTGTGGAGTTAACCAAGTTCAAGGGTTAACTTATGAGTAAACTCTAGCATATGTTGACAGTTATGTCAGTGAGCTAGTTTGAGAAATCCAAAGAAGATTTCTTAGAAATGTTGATCCACTCTTCCTAAAAGGGTAAATAACGTCGACCATATACATGAATGCATATGAACAACATTCCCTCTATTAGAAACATTTGGTTTCAACAACTATGGTGAAATAGTTGAAATGTGGGGGATATATTGGGGAGAAGTGATGTGGTCGTTTGGGTAATTCCAAAGTGAAGTGAAAGTGATACTTAGGAGTTTTATGTAAATCCTAAGCTAAGTCATAAATGTCACTACATTAGAAGAGATACTTGTGAAGTTTAAGTACTCTAATGTTAATGAAGTAGAGAGACTTCAACACCGTTGGACGAGTCTTTGGTGTATTATACCCAAAGAAACTTATTGGATGAACCACAAGGTATAATCCATTGATGGATGTGGATTTATGGTTGATGGGGAGCAGTACCTTGGAAAACATCCAAGTTGATTAAATATATACCCACTCTAAGACCGGTGAGGTTTAATAGTCTGGCCCACATAGACTAGCGTTAAAAAGACGCACTTGTGCACAAAATAGTTATTGCAAGGGCTAGAAGTGTTATGTGAAAATTCTCGTCGTAGAAACATAACATTATCGACAGGTTAATTTCTAGTGGAGTTATCGAAGATGATCGGTTTAGATCAAATGATAACAAACGTGGGGCCCGCCTAGAAATTAATTAAATCATCTAAGGGAATGGACTCGTGGCCTAGGACAATTCATCATGGCGGTAGCTCTACCTAAGTAGGATTGGCAGACCCAACCTCTAGGTTCAAGGAGCATACAAAGTTGTGAATGATGGTCCGCATTGTCAAATTATTCAATGTCCATTCTCATGATGAGACAATGTCTAACTATAAGGGTAAACCTAAAAATGTGAAAGGTTTTTAATGGTTTCTAAGTCTGACACGTGGTGTGATCAAATAGTGTATTTTAGGAATACATGTTTAGAAATCACCAATGTGAGTGTGAAGTGGAGCCGCTTCAAGGAGAATAAAAGAAGGTCAGTTCTTTAAGCACTCATGAGACCAGGCGGTGTTCATGGCTAAAACGAACACAACAATGAGAACCAGTGAACGAATATGAGTTAGTTGTGTGACATATGTTGTCTTAGTATACAAGCAAAACCGACGGTTCAAAGATATCACATCTACCGATTGGTGAGTATACTCGATATATGTTCACTAAGGAAGGTTCAAAGGGATACCTACCTACCCCGATGCAACTAATTCTTAGTCGAGAATCACACGAGTTTTTTGCGTAGTTTTTAAAATACAACATTCTCCATTCATGTGGGGATTGTTGGAATTTTAATGGTGTGAATGGAAATGAAAAGGGAAAGATCCAAGAGAATCTCTTGAAGTACCATGTTGGTAAGTTGTGGGAAGGCGTGGCCACGAATTCGGTCGATTTGATGTAATATGTTGGTGATCGGTAATATTGGTTTGTGTAGCCAACCTGATCAAATCGAGTTGAACCAAATCGAACCAAACCAATGTGGCGATTGGAATAACCAAACCGGTCCAACTTCCATAAGCCGAACTGATGCGATGGTTGAGAAAATTTAAATGAACCATTGCAATGGTTGGGGGTGTAACCACCCATATGAAGAGTCGCCTCCCTTCGTACGCACCCTTCATTTTCTATAAATAGCACCATACCCCCTCTAGTTTAGACTACGAGAAATACACGTTTTTTCAGTTCCAAAACTCTGCTAAAATCCAAAAACTAGTTTTCTGCATTCTTTTCAAAGAGAAAATAGAGTCAAGTGTGGTTCTCGCTAGTTCGCTGCGTTCGATGGGTTTCAGGGTTTGAGGTACCGCTACGCCGAAAAAGGTACGCCATTTCTATCATGAGAGGAATCATTGCATAACCTTGGGTACTAGAAGAGAATAAGATTCTTTAAGGACATATAGTGAATTCTATCGGCTAGGACGCTTGCATGTGTCTTTGCATATTTTCTTAATCTTATGTGTTTGCTTGTGTTGCAAGGAAATAATATACGTGAACAATTTCCACCATAATGGATACGATTTTATTTGACAAGATACTGAATTCGATAATAAATATATATAATAGGCACATGTATTGTATTTCATGTATTTTTCATACATCGCTATTTTACAAGGTTCATGTTCAAATACTTTGAGTTCTTGCCTAATTTATTTATAATAATTTAAAAAAAAAAACATTCCAAACGTTAACAATGCAAGTGAACTATTTTTTTCACACACATATATATTTCAGATGTAGACATAAAAATAAAAATAAAATTTTCTTGGCCCAACGGGCCAGTAATGATGTTGATGGTTGAGTGGTGTTTTGAGCCGGAAATCAAAGACAAAAGGCCCAACAAGAAAAGAAAGCCCTGCAATTGCATTAGCCAGCCATCAAAACCGTATAAAAAACTGAACAACCCCTCGCTCAGCCAAACGAAACATAACCTCAAGCAGAGGACAAATTTTACAATGCTATATAGTATTGGTGCTATAGGATTTTGCCTTTATGGTACAACTTAAAATTGTACATTTACGTTATGGTACAATTTCAGATTGTACCTATACTTTTTGTACAAATTCTTTTATGGTACAACTTGAACTTGTACTTTTATGTGATGGTACAACTTCGAGTTGTAAAATTGTACCATAACATAATGGTACAAATTGTTTTATGGTACAACCTAAACTTATACATTTAATGTTATGGTACAACTTTAAGTTGTACATTAAAGCACCAATACTATATAGCATAGTAGAAGTGCTCAGAGCAGAGAAAGCAAACCCTAGGGTTGGTGGAATCGAAATCGAAGGCTCCCTTGTTCTGAATGCTGATGATGACCGGAGGCGGGGAATCAGGGTCAATGGCACCGGTGATGATGACCGGCGAGTCATTAGAGTACAAGAATCCGGTGACTGAACCCAAATGGAAAGGTAAAACCCTTTACTTGACGTTTAGGCATAATACATCGATGCGGGCGATTAAGGTTTTTGAAGATAGGCACAATGATTTGGGGGAAACCCACGTACCAGAGCCTGTTTGTAAGCTGGATATGTACAATGATTGTGCTTTGCCTGTTGGAATGGGCCTCATCAAGCTTAATAAGAAGGTTTATTTCGTCGGCGGAGAAACTACATCTCTGAAAGACCCTTTCGGAACAGTTCGTTCCATGCGCGGCGAGGCCTCTCAATTCTTTCAATCAAGTGACAAAGTCTATGAATTTGATCCTTCAGATCTGCCTAACAATACCACCTGCTGCTTCCGCGAGATCCCTGATTACCACCTGCCGATCCCTACGCCACAACCGATTGTTGCAAACATCCGGGGGAAAGTATACGTGCTTAGTGGAGATCATATCTCTCGGAAACTCGGATCCCCAGAGAAACCTGAATTATCTTTCCAGGTTTTGGAATTCAATCCTCTTTCGAAATCGTATCATTGGAAGACACTTCCTCTTCCTCACTCCTACATTGCAGACTACAATAACTTTGGAGAGCGAACGTACAACATGGGTGTCGTCGGCCACAGGCTGTTTATTATTCAGCCTCCTATGGAGGGTGGTGAGCTTCTTCATATCTTTGATGCCCATACACAAAGCTGGGAGTCTCACGAAGACGGCTTCGATCTCTTGCCTCCGCCAGCCATAACGTTGTCAGGTTTGCTAACCAGCAGTGGCCCCTATCTCAAGAAGACAAAAAGAAGTAGTGATATCGGCCAGGTAAAGAAGGACAGTTATTTCATCGTCGTTGGTACCGAATGTCATTATGATTGTTATGATGATCATGTCCTTGCTGCAGTGGTTGATTCTGACGGAGTTATGTCCGATCTGCAATTGCTATGGGATCCTTTACCGGCTGGATTTTACCCACTTGGTGACTGCAAAGTGATTGACCTGTTGGAGGAGGATGAGCAGGACGACGATGGGCATTTGAGCAGCAGCATATTCTGTGTGGTGTATATATCCCGTGATCGTGCCCAGCTGGCTTTGTCAGTTTTCAGAGTGTCTTTGTTATCTCCAATGGTGGTCGTGACACCACCAACAACAGATGAGGCCCAGTACTTGTCCCGACAAGATAAAGGGGAAGAAGAAGCAAGTGATGATGAATCCGGAGGAGGTGACTCCTTGAATGTTGATATTCTGGAAAAACGTATTTATGCACTGGGTGACGCCTACCCTAATGAACTTTCTGATGCCTTCTTCCTCTAGGTAACTAACCTTTTTATTACTGGTCAAATACATTTCTTTTTAGCCCATGGTTTCCATTTTTATCTATGTCGTTTGTTGGACTTGCACTATGGCTACCATTTTGCACTGGATCAATCTTGTTGGTATCAGAAGAAAGACACAGTTCTCATCATCTGGCAGTTTAAAGGGTTTGTTGTTTGTAATCTTGCCCTGCTTCTTCGCGTTGAATCATCTATTTTCTGCTATGTGTGGTCTGTTTGAGTGGTTGTTCCTCATTCCTGCAACTAATATTGGTGATCTCTTATTATAACATTAGGAAGTGATGTGATGATTGAACCGAGGCTGTGGTGCTGAATGTCAGTGGTGGGCGCCATTTTGCTGGTCTGCAGACTGCAGTCTACTTGCTTTCCCTCCGGGACTGGGGTTTTTCTTGTCATCTATATGGCGCACTGTGTACTGCTAAACATTGTGCTTCGCTTCCCTACATTCTGCGTCTCATTTGGTAGATTATTTTAGGTTTGACCTAGGTCTGTCGTTATCATTTTGTGTTATGCTTGCTTGCTTTCGCTCTGCCTATGGCTATCCGCAACCTGTAAGGTCAATAGTATTGTTTGTGTTAGCTCTAAAATGTAACGGAAATGCTTGTTAAAGTTTCGTAAGAACATCTATGGAATGTTGCCGTTCGTATTGGATTTTCTCCGTCAATGTTTTGTGGCAGCATGCTGATCCGATTCATATCTGTTGGCAACCCGGATGCCCAGAGAAACTGGACTTAGCCTTCCCGGTTTTAGAATTCGATCTTCTTTCTACGATGCAGCCTCCCCGTTCTTTGGAGAGCGGAAGACCAAGGGTGGTGTCCTTGGCCACATGCTGTTTATTTTGCAGGCTTGTGAGTGTTATACTGTACATATCTTTGATGCCCATAAACAAAGCTGGGAGTCTCGCGAAGACTACGTCTGGCCCTTGGGTTATCTACCAACCACAACTAGGGGTGGGCAACGGGAAACGGGTATTTGGGTATACCCGTACCCGTCCCGTTTTTTAAGGGTTACGGGTACCCATATTACCCGTAATATTATAAATGGATGGGACTTGGGATTGTACATTCCTAATATGGGTACCCCGCGGGTTACCCGCAAATACCCGTTTGGGTAATGTGGGTACCCGTTTTACCCATTTGCCAACTCTAATCCATAGAAAGGGAATGTCCACTTCGCCACAAAGATGAAACTTTTCTTAGTAAAGAAACAAAGAACGCTATGTGAACATAATACTTGTAGTCTGCACTCTGCAGTGACATGCAACCTAAACTCATCCCTGTCCAAGAAGTACCATAGATTATTTTCATAGTTCAAAGTAGTCATCAATCGCTAAAGGAACCTCAGCGGTGTATGATTCCTTAACATTGAAATTATCAGTTACATTTTTCCTTCTACCCTGCTGAGTGCTGACAATAGCTGAATGCATGCAGGTTACCCTGTATACCACTCAATGTATGATGACTTTGTCTGGATGGAGAAGTTTGGTGACCCTAATTTTCGCAGGCACATCGTTGTGATTGTTCATGATTTGTGTTGAATGAAACTTATTATTTGATAATTTGGTGCTTAGAATGATTTATTTCTATGCGTTGTGATTGTTCATGATTTGTGTCTTGTGATTGTTAAGCAAGTACAAGTTAAGTTTAAACTTTTGTTAAAATTTGAGTGGTTTAAACTTTGGGTATTTATGGGTAGTATGGGTACCCGTTATCAGTCCCGTACGGGTAATGGGTACCCGTTTCCCATATGGGTTTGGGATATGGGATGGACTTTGGCCTCCAAATGGGACTGGGTACCCGTTTAAAACGGGACGGGTATCCCGTCCCGTCCCGTTGCCCACCCCTAACCACAACCTTGTCAATTATGCTAACCAGCAGTAGTGGCCCTTGTCAGGCTGTCACAAAAGAACTGATATCGGCCAGAGAAAGGAGTGTTATTTCTTCGCCGTTGGTACCGAATGTCATTTTGATATGCATGATCGTGTCTTTGCTGCAATGGTTGATGTTGACGGAGACATATCCGATTTACAATGATTGTTCTCTCATAGAGTTCAAGATGTTCTTGAAGTGTTAGTACTTCTTTAAAAGCTCAAGCCAGAAACTGTTTTTACAAAACCTACAGTAGGGCCAAACTAAGCTAGTGTATAGGTGAATGCCCAAATGACTCTCAAATTACAAATATTTCCAATAACAATGCAGTAATTTCCTTGCAACAATTTTTTTTTTCAAGAAATAAATTCAAATATGAAAATAATCATATTAATTAGTAATTACTAATATTTCCAATAACAATGCAGTAATTTCCTTGCAACAATTTTTTTCAAGAAATAAATTCAAATATGAAAATAATCATATTAACAATATAACAAGAAATGACGATGAGGTGGAGAGATCTAGACTACTTATAATACATTTTAAAGAGTTTGATTTGCTCCATTTCAAATTTCCTGCAACGAGAGTGAAAGTAGGAAGGATATTTTCATCTACACAATATTTTTTTATTTCATTTAAAAAGATATCAATAACAATGCAGTAATTTCCTTGGAACAATTTTTTTCAAGAAATAAATTCAAATATGAAAATAATCATATTAACAATATAATAAGAAATGACGGTGAGGTGGAGAGATCTAGTCTAGACTACTTATAATTCATTTTAAAGAGTTTGATTTGCTCCATTTCAAATGTTCTGCAACGAGAGTGAAAGTAGGAAGGCTATTTTCGTCTACACAATCATTTTTTTATTTCATTTAAAAAGATATCAATGCTAGGATTTGAAACATGGTCCCTTCCACCAAAGACAATAATTGTAACCAATTAGACTAAACACATTTGTTGTACTTTATTAATACAAAACATAGAGAAAGTTAAAATTATGAAAAACAAAGTACTTTTCTATTACAGTTAGTTAGCCCGCTAAGTCTCCTGTAAGTATTTTGTGGAGTTTGATACTTCTATTTTCATATTTTAATAATTAATTTATAATGTTTTCTAACTTATAAATGAAGGATAATCTTAAAATCTCAACACAAATATCATTGGTTGGAATATTGCGCATTGAATTGAAGTGTTGAATGAAGTGTTCAATGACGATATAAGGACACTGGTACCATACATTTCAAGATAAATAAAAATGACAAACACCGATACCAATTATCTCGACAGTCTATGCTAAAATTCGAAATTGTTTAATCATTCAATTTGAATGACAGTTTATTCAAATCAAGCAAATAATTCACGATTGTGTAAGAAAAAAATAAAAACATATCAATTGTATTATGAAAAATGTATTTATTTTAACAATCTAAAAAAAAACAATAAAAACTTCCATACGACCCCTTATTTCAATAATGTAATTAATGAAATAATTTTTATCAGCATGATGCAATGTTCAAGCTAAGGTCCAAGTATTAACACCAGTATATAGTATTCATCATAGTTAACTATTTCAATATCCACAACTAACTATTAATGGTTACTTGCTTTCTCTTAGAGAGTTTAATGTAACACTCTCATGCCTAGCTATGCTCTAAGCATTTGTTTTCTTTTTCACAATATCATTTGCAGTTATTTATTAAATCAATTTTGTTTCTAGCTTTCAATTCCTAATTATCCACTTCTTCATACCAACTTATGAGAATGCTAAATATATTTTTCATGTCTAATCTATTAAACATAAATGTTGCTTATCACACAAATTCAATGGTATCCATGTTAGGTTTGATGTCACCAACATATTCTCCCAATTTCTCCTAAAAGCATAATATATTGCGCTTGATATCATAGTTTTGTTAGGTAAAGTTCAACAAAGTCAATCAATATTCGAACTCTTCGAAATAGCTATCTACATGCGAATATGAAGTACTGAGTAGCTAAAACTCTACTTGAGTTAGTACAATCTTTTGCGCTATTTCAAAATTCAATACATGATTATCTTAGTACAATTTAGTCATACTAATTGTGCAATAGAGGACATCTTATCAAAATCTTAAAGAAAGACTCTTTGATTGATCGCTTTATTGATGTAATCAATTATACCAAAATAGAAGTGATCAAATTTATAAGATGCACTCAAAGTTTGCTATAATTATTGAGATTCAGCAGCAGGTTAGGCGTACGAGGGTCATTGGGCATTTGTCTATCTCTTAGCTCGCCTAGACATGCTTAGACATTATAATAAAAATAGCAATTTTAATAATAATGAATAAAATAACGGTTCAGAAGCAATTTCATACTTTAGTTCAAATGATTTAACAACAAACGAAATAACTCTCAAGTTTATAAATTATTTTCTTTTACCAAATGATATAATTAATTCATTCATGAGCTGAAATAGCTAATTATAAGCACTTCAAATTTAAGTTAAAACTCTATATGATGCAATTGTTTGACGAAATGAGTTTTATAATAAAGTGGTTCTATCGAGAGAGGTCTCTAAGAAACATGGTTTACTTTATTATTCCTTAGGTGGATATAATATCTATCTTCATCGCTATTTTTACATTGGATTCAATTTAATATATTTTTTCATTTAGATAGATTTGTTTATGATGTTCTGGGATATAATATATCATTATATATGATGGTGTAGGATATTAATTCCTCTCATTTTAGGTTCAAATTGATGCATTTTCCCCTTAACCGTTCCCTTTTATTGGTTAAAAAATTTTATGATATTTTTCCCTTTAAAATATCGTGAGCGGAATCTATACACAGCAATTTGTGTTTTTTCGCTTCCTCTTCTCTTGGTTAGATATTGTGTCCATATTGATTCCTATATTGATTATCGAATTACTACATTTTTGTTCTTTTTTCTGATGCAAGATATGATTTTATGTTTGATAATATAGATTTATTTTGCAAGCATGTGGATGCTTGAGAGTAGGTTGTCAACCCTGGGTCGACCCACTTTGACCCTGACCCGGTGAGAAAAACGGAATGCACGCACCCGCCGAGTCGACCGCTACAAGGTATCGGGTTAGAGGTCAAATTGTGTCATTTTTTTCTTTGGTTTGCGAAATGCGCCTATTTTTCCGATTTTCTTTTCGCCTAACTCAATCTTTGGAATCCTAAGTTGAACATTTGAATATTGTTGTTATATAATTGTGTGTGAATTTTCAGTATATGTTGGATCTAAGTACGACATGTTAATTTAGTGTAATATTATATGTTATAACTCATATGTTAGATGAGATTTGATATAATTTATCAGGATAAGTATAATATAATGACTCTTTCCATATTTTCGGGCTAAACCGGGTGACCCATTAATCCTTGACCCACTAGCTTCACCGGGTCCGGGTCAACCCGCGGGTTGACAACCTTGACTTGAGACTTTTCATTTTCCTCATAACTTACATTTTACAATGGCTCCAAACTTGGATGGGTTTCTATTCAGCACTTAAATTTTTAATGATGTAAAATTTATGAAACTAAGATGCTTATTAATAAAAAATGTAAGGTCTCATCTTCCCTCTTAAGCACTACATATCATTGTTTACTTACCATTAAATCAAAGTCTTTCTAACTTGAGTAAGAGCTACAATGACTTTTATTAACTTTCACTACTCATATATCACAAGTGTTCAAATCATTATCAAGTTTTCATACAATGACTTTTATTGTTGTGAATTTCCCCCAAAATGTTAGGTATGCTGCTTTTAGTTTTTGCCTTCTTTTCGCTTTGATTTAGCTTTTTATGTGTTGCTCTATGCAGCTGGAGATCTGCATGCTTTGTTTCATTATATCATTGAATACACTAAAATCAATGGAACCATGACTGTGTGAGTTAGTTTGTTTCTTTTTAAGTACACTCTAAACATATGATTTGTTTCATTATATCATTGAATACATGAAAGTCAATGGAAAAGGCAAAAAAATTTATCGTATAGTGAAGATTGATTATGTATGTGTGAGGTTAAACAACTCTTATCATTGTTCTTCTTAGACATTTTTATATAGATATGTCTTTGTTTGAAATATGAATTTATGTTAGTGTAGTTGGGCGTTGTTTGTCATTTTTAAACTTCATTAGTCAAATACATTAAATACTTTCCTATATTATTCATGGAGAACTTATCAAATTAAATTGTTACTTCAATCCTCAATGTTTACTATACATACACATGAAAATCAAACTCTCCCGGCCAAGAGGCCGGGCCCTAATCTAGTTTCAAAAGTAAACAGATATAGATGTGGGCCTGTGCCATTTGTTTCTCCTTTTGTTTGGTTTGCTCTGTTATTTGATTTTTTCCCATTTCCCTGGCTGGTGTGCACTTCTTGTGCTGCCATGCCATTGTATTGACTTTTGATTATTGTTTGTTCCTTCTAATGCTATTCTCACGATTATATAAAAAGGTGGGTTTGTGCCGGTGAAAGTAAGAAATCCTAACCAAAAGTAAGATAGGCTAACAGTAAAACTGCCGCAACAGTGAAGGATTGGGAGGTGCAGATCTCAGGTTCGAATCCAAGCGAGGCCCGTTGGTGTTCCTAGAGGTACAAGGCTACTGGAGGCGAAGCCCCGTTGACGTCGAATTGAATGATCCTGAGAAATTACTCCCGTTGTAGGCTTCAAAATGGAGAAACCTTATTGTTGAATTCAACCAAATCGAATGAATTACGAGAGACAAAGCAAATTAAGATTGCAATATATGAACATTGTTTGCATCTTCATATTAGTATTCTTCCTTTGTTGTTAATTGCTCCCAACCTAATATGAACATTTGTATCGAACATATCATTATTTTATGATAAGCAACTAATAAATATCTAAACAACGTCAACTTATACAATTTAGTAACGGATGCAACTGTGAACATTTGAAATTCGAGTTTTCTTTGCTGCGTGAGATGATGCGTCAACGTAATATGAAAAGTTTGATAACGCGGAAAATAGTAGGACACGATGATTTACGTGGTTTTCCTGAAGATCAGGACTAGTCCACGGAGAGCATAGCTCTCAGTATGGGTTTCACTAGGTTTTGGTGAAAGAACAGGAAGATGTCTCTCAACCACTCTAGGGTTTGAGTTCGATAGCCTAAATACCCTTCCTCAGGCACTCGGGTATTAGGCAAAAGTCCAAACACAACATGCAACAAATAAATGTATATAAAATGGTCCAGTCCACGTCATTACTCCCCCTCAAGCTAGAGCATGAAGGTCACAAATGCCCAGCTTGGAAAGCAAAGCATGAAACTGTTTCATACCCAACGCCTTGGAAAAAAACCAGCGAGCCGATGATGCGTGCTAATCTTCGTCGGCAGAATCTCACCCGAACCAAGACGTTCACGGACAAAGTAGCAATCCATCTCCACATGCTTCGTCCGCTCATGGAAAACAGGATTAGCTGCAATGTGAAGGGCAACTTGATTATCATAGTAGAGAAGAGTCGGACCTGACTGAGGTAGCTGCAATTCACGAAGTAGAAGATGGAGCCAAAGAATCTCACTGGTGGTGCTAGCCATGGCTCGATACTCAGCCTCGGCAGATGAACGAGAAACCACATGTTGTTTCTTGGCTCGCCAGGAAACCGAGGCACCACCAAGCTGAATGAAATACCCAGTGGTAGAACGACGGGTGAATTGAAACCCAGCCTAGTCGGCGTCATTGTACGCAACAAGCTCCAGAGAACCATCAGCCGGCAAAAGTAGACCCTGTTAAGGGGCAGTCTTCAGGTATCCCAGGATACGAGGAGCTTCAACCATGTGGACAGGGCTGGGAGAATTCACAAACTGACTACGTAGGTTAATGGAGTACGCGATATGCGGACGTGTAATCGTCAGGTAGAGAAGACGACCAATGAGGCGCAGTAAGCACCAACATCTTCATACCGCTCGTTGTTCGGTCGGGTGAGGTCGTGGTTCTGCTCCATTGGAAATCCACGGGGTCGCGCGGCGGATACACCGAAATTAGCAAGAATGTCGAGAGTGTATTTACGCTAGCTGAGCACAATGCCAGCTGGGGAGCGCGTCACCTCGATGCCTAGGAAGTATTTCAGAGCGTCAAGATCCTTGATGCTCAAACGCTGATGAAGGAACTGCTTGACACGAGAAACGGTAGCAAGGTCATTTCCCGTCAGAACCACATCGTCAACATAAATGAGCACCGAAATAAACACCCCTGCCGCCTGGTAAAGGAAGAGGGAATGGTCTGCCCGAGAAACAATGAACCCAAATTCCAAGAGAGCATCAGTGAATTTAGTGTACCAGTTCCTGGAAGTTTGTCGGAGGCCATAAAGCGACTTGTGTAACCGACAAACACGATGATCACCAGCCTGGGCAAACACTTGAGGTACTTTCATGTAAACCTCTTCATCCATATCGTCGTGCAAAAAAGCATTGTTCACATCAAGCTGATGCAGTGGCTGTAACACTCCGACCTTTAGTTTTAGGTTCGACCTTAATACATGATCGGTTGGGTTGTCAGTTGCGTAAAAGTTGCACTCGCGGATTAGTAATAATAATAACAATAATAATAACTATTATTATTTTTATTATTATAAATAAAAAAACCATACACGTTCAGGAAGGGCCAAGAGGCCATTCCTTTATTTTGGCTGCGCGTCAAAATCCCCCCAGCAGTAGCAAAACCCTCCCCCTGCCCTCTCTTTGTTTTCCACAGTCGCTTGTACCCAATCCCGCGCGAGGCGGAAAAAAAAGAGGAAGAATGAAGAAAGCGGAAGCGCCGCTCGCAGCCGATCCCGATCTCGATCCCATCCCTTTCGTGTTTCTAGGTAAGGACCACGAACCCCTTCGCAATTTCTAAACTCAATTCATAGATAGTCTAATCCGAAGCTCGTTTTTTATTAGCGGTGACGTTTGAGGGTTCGATCAACAAGGAGATCAACGTCCCAGGTCATCCAACCTAGGCCTTATGCACGTTCTAGAGGTAAGGGAACTCGATCCCTTTGAGTTAGGCCAATTAATTTGGGGACTTTTCGTGAGGGTGCAATTCTGACTTTTAGCAACAGACGTTACAGGCTTTTAGTGACAGATTTTAGGTGGTCGCTAAAGCTGCTGGGAATTTGCAAAAACTTATTTTTAGATGTTTTAAATTGTTTCGAGTCTCTGCGCGTGTTTGTTCCTAGGTTAAACACTTTTATAAATTGAGGGAGGTATAGGAGATGGTTGTAATTTAATTTGTGGATTTTTGAAGATGTATTTCTATTTTTAGAAATATTTCGAATATTCGTTTTAATTAAATAAAAATCGTACCGAAGGTTTTTTAAGGGTCTGATAAATTTCCAGGGTGTAGGTACTCATGATTGATATAGGAAAATTATTATACAAATTTTTATGAAGGTTCAAATTAGGTGGAAAATTCGTCCAAGACTAAAATAATTAGGAAAGATGGTCGTTTTGAAGGGATTGTTTCCAGAAAATTTTTAAAGGGGGTTAAGGGACCTTTGGAGCGAGTCTCGAGGGCTAGATTTTGAGGAGAGGATGTTCTAGTGATTCAAAAGGGAATTCTAAATCGATAAAGGTCGACTAAGGAGATGACCTTCTTATTAATAGGTTCACCAAGATAATTCGGCTAGGAGGGATTTCTTCGAGTAAGGAATCGAGGAGTCATCTTTTCAAGGTGATTGTAAAGGGGGGTAAATTCTACGCCTTACGTGTTCTTTCAAGTATTACGAGCTTAAGTATTTTGATGAAGTGATTGTCGTTGGTTGATTGTGCTTATGGTTGATGATATTTGATTTTGTTTGAGCTATGTTTGAAGTGAATGTGCATGAGTTATTATTTCTTTTAAACCTTTACGTTTATAAGTTATTGTTAAAGTTTAAGAAACAAGTTCTTTTTAAGAAGTAACCCACCTTCAAGAAGGTGAAGTCATTTTAAGTATTTTTAGTCACTAGCACCAGTCTGTTGCCATTTGAGACTTTTAAGATGAGCAGCAGTTATGCTCTTGAGATATGTTAAGATGAGCAGCAGTTATGCTCTTGAGAATCGTGGAAGAAAAGCCTTCCACGATAAGTTTAAGTTTAAGGAAAGCCTGGATGTCTTCTCATACGTATGAGTTGGCAACCAGACTAGGTAGTAAGGGATCCCAGTGTCAGTCAAATATTTAAGTTGAGATTTGATCTTTAATAATAAATTTTTAAAGGGTGGAAGTATCATCCACCAGTTTAAGTTAAGTTCTTAAGTAAGAAATACAAGAGATTTCAAACGTAAGGGCATAGACTGACCCCAACTCACTCACCAAATCGTAGAGGAGGAGATCATAACCAGCCATTCCGCGATCAGTAAGGAGCTCAACACCACCGTCGCTGAGAGATGTCGAGTCAGGCGTCTGAGTAAGCATCGAGGAACTTTTTCAAGTTATTAAGACTTTATGGTTAAGAGTTAACGACTGGAGATTCATTTCTTTTGGATGATTTGAGTTTTTCCCACGTGTTTAGGGCTTCGATTTGAGATATTAAGATATTTGAGTTTGGTATTTTATTTAAAGTTGTGTCAGTTGAGATTTTGAATTATACCCCGGGGTAGAAATATTTTTTTCCAAGTTCAAAGTAGTGGGATGTTTCAGTAGCCATCCCTGCTTGGCAGCAACAGCTAAGAGAACAAGAACCATGACCAACTTTGCGATTGGTGCAAAAGTATCATAAAAATCTATCCCTTCAAGCTGTATAAACCCTTTCGCTACGAGGCGCGCTTTTATAACGATGACTTTCCCATCTGACTTGAATTTAATCTTGTATACCCACTTGTAATCAATGGCGCGCTTCCCTGGCGGCAGAATCTCTAATGTCCATGTGCCCTGTGCTTGTAATGCCTCTATCTCCTTCCTCATTGCTTCTCGCCAATGCTCGTACTGAACCGCTTGAGCATATGTGCGATGCTCAAACAAGTATCCACGACAGCAAGGAAAGCAGTGTGAGAAGGAGAAAACCGATGATAATGAACATGATTAGATATAGGAAGCTAAACATGATGAGAGCCTGGAAGGTCTATCTTGTAAATGGAAAGTGAACTAGGCGGGCGCCGATCACGTATAGGGTTACGTCGTGGTGCTGGCGGTGCAACTAGCTCCTGGGAGGCGCTCGCTACCTCGTCATCCAGTGAAGGAGTAGTGTCGTCCACGCACGGCACCGGTGAAGTGGAGAGAGGAGAATCCTCAAGACAGGGCTGGGTAGGCGAACTGGGAATGTCAGCAAGGTCATGACCAGGAGACACCACGGAATCAATGGCCTCCTCATCAGCATGCATGTCATCGAGCATGAGAGGGGAGTCGTCTTCATGCAATGGGACGTGCATGGCTGGACGTGACATGGTGGAGAGTGGCAAAGTCGTACTCGTTTACTTAAGTTTGTACGAGAAAACACTTTCCACAAACTGCACATCTCGAGAAACGAGAATTTTACGACTGCGAAGGTCATAAATTCTATAGCCCCGCTGAGTTCCTGGGTAACCGAGAAAGAGGCCCGCTCTCCCGTCTTCGCAAATTTGTCAAGGCCATGGTGAGTATCTTTTGCATAAGCTAGACACTCAAAAGAGCGCATGTGCGAATAAGAATGCCGTTTGGCGAGGAGAACCTCGAATGGTGTCTTGCCAGCGAGAACAAAAGAAGGTAATCGATTGATCAGGTAGGTGGCGGTGAGCACACAATCACCCCAAAACCTCACCGGTAGCCCTGCATGAAACATGAGAGCAGAGGTTGTTTCTAAGAGATGACGGTGCTAGCGTTCCGCAACTCCATTCTGCTTCGGGATATCCGTGCACGAAGTCTGAAGAACCATACCATTGTCCTCATAATATGCCCGAAGAGACAGTCTGGAATTCGGGGTTGTTATCAGCTAGAATCCTGCACACGGGGCGGCCAAACTGAGTATGGGCTAACTCATAATGTAGTTTAATATATCGCTCCACATCAGACTTATACTTCATTAAAAAACCCAAGTAGAACGGCTATAATCATCAACAATAGCAAGAAAGTAACACGAACCATCCAAAGCCGGCGTACTATATGCGCCCCAAATATCCATGTGAAGCAATTCAAAACTGCCACTGGTTTTTATTGTGCTCAAAGTAAATGGAAGTCGAGTCTGTTTAGCCCTTAAACAAGAATCACAAGGAAAATTATCCCGAGTTGAAATAGTACAATCCAAACAATCTCGTAAACTAGCCAGTTTATCCAAGGATGGATGACCGAGGCGAGTGTGCCACAAGGCCGAGGACTCCTCAAGTAGTGTTGCCTTGTTCGTTTGACGTTGCACAGCCATACCAAGCCGAGGAAGGTAATAGAGTCCATCCCTAAGCCGTCCCACTCCAATCATCGTCTTGGAAGGTAAGACCTGAAGTGTGCAAAAATCATGCAAAAAAGTTACCGCCACGTTGTGATCTTGTGCTAACCGACTAACTGACAACAGGTTGCACTTGAAAGCAGGAACGTGTAAGACCCTGTCTAGCCGAATAGATTCACTAAATTCAATCGACCCCATAGCTATCACGGGAATACTAGAACCGTCCGGTATACGAACTTGAGACTGCCCCTGTACCGAGTCAATTGTATCCAACCAACCAATGTCACAAACTAATTGTTCGTTACAACCTGAATCTATCAACCACATGTTGGGGTCAGAATGATTACCAGCCATATGTGTCGTGGGTGTGGACGGTGACTCCGTAGAACCGAGGTCAAGAACTCCTTAAGCTGTGCGAACTGAGCCGCAGTGAGACCTGGAATGGGTGAGCCCTCGTCTCGTTCGACGTGCGCGGCTTTGGGACGTCGAGGGGCAGCGCGAGGGTCGTCGTTGGACTTCGCTTGAGGGTGTCCCGGAGGGTGCCCGTTCAGCTTGTAGCAAGTGTCTCGAGTATGCCCTTCCCGATTACAGTGGGAACAACGGGGTTTGTCACTGTCAACTCTAGGCTCTCGATCAGCAAGGATCTGGAAGGCAGCCATGTCCACAGGGGGTCGACGGGTGCTGGCAATATTCCGGTGCTGGTCCTCGGCAGTCACCATTTGATATGCATCAACCAAGGAGGGAGTTGGTCTCGTGCCAAGAATTTGTGAGCGAATGACGGAATACACGTCATCAAGCCCCATGAGAAACTCGAACAGCCGTTTAGTGTCTTGCTTCGCCTGATACTCGCGGATCCAATAACACGAGCAACCTCCACAAGTGCAGCGGGGAACTCCCCCTATCGATTGCATTTCGTCCTATGTTGAACGCAGTTGGGTATAGAACGCCGAGACAGTTAGTTTCTCCTGGCGTAAGGAGCTCAGACTACGCCGCAGCTCGTATGCTCGCTGTGCCGAGCCCCGACTGAAACGGCGCTGCAAGTCGGCCCAATAACATGAGCCGTCACCACTGTCCGGACGCAGTTATGCACCTCTTTCGTCGTAGCCGTCTTCAACCATCCCTTCACGATCGCATCACACCTATCCCAAGCATCTTGCCGGAAAGCCGAGCCGGCTTTGGCTCGAGGAAGGGATCCATCGACAAAAGCCAATTTATTTTTGGCGATTAGGGTTTCTGTAATATCATTAACCCATTCCCCATAGTTCGAATCATTCAGCAAATCACCGCCAAATAGTTGCGCGGGATTCTCCGAAGGGTGTAGATAGAGAGGAGAGAGTTAATCGGGATCACGTTGTCTGCCGTGACGACTGTCTTACCGCCGCTACTGTCCTTGCCCTTCGTGCCCATGATGAATACGTGGGATTAGCTTGGAACCTTACAGCTCTGATACCATGAAAAGTTTGATAACGCGGAAATTAGTAGGACACGATGATTTACGTGGTTTCCCCGAAGATTGGGACTAGTCCACGGAGAGCATAGCTCTCGGTATGGGTTTCACTAGGTTTTGGTGTAAGAACAGGAAGATGTCGCTCAACCACTCTAAGGTTTGAGTTCGACAGCAAGCATGCCTAAATACCCTTCTCAGACACTCGGGTATTAGGCAAAAGTCCAAACATAGCATACAACAAATAAATGTATACAAAATGGCCCGGTCCACGTCATTATAATAGTCCCTAATCATCATGTGATTTTTTTACTTTTTTGCTTGTTGGATTTGAAAACGAGGGTTTTGAGTTTTAAAAACCTTTGGATTTATGATGAATTTGTGCATTATGGATTTGGAAGAGTACATTGTTTGTTTAGCTTATTTTATCATGGATTTATGATGGATTTGTGTCACATTTTGCCTTCCATTATCAAATCCCAAATGAAATGTGGGATTTGAAAATCCGTGGGATCCACAAATTTGAACCTAAAAAATGGCCCAAATCCGTGGACCCCACGGATTTGTGTCCTCAAACAATGGTTTTTTGTCAATTCCATTATGCTTGGAATTTGAATATCAATTCCATCACGCAAATACCTAAATATGTTTTCTGAAATATACGAAGGCAAAGCAAGTTAAAGGACTAATGAGTTTAAAGATATGCATTATCATATAACTATTCCATATAAAATGAAGTGACCACACAAACCGTACTTGATTGTGGTTGATCAGGAATTACTTTTTCAATTGACGAATCAGGGAATCCTTCACTACCACTCTCATGAAAGATTCCCGGTAAATTTGAAATTAGTAATTCTTCAAATAGTAGCTAAAATACTTATTATTGAAATATGGATTGATACTGTATGTAAGTCTTAGAAGTATATTTCTAAGTTACATCTCACATGAACATAAAGAACAATCCACCTTTTAATTAATTATTTCTTTCAAGCAATTATGTTCTTCAAGAGCAACAACCTAAAGTTTCATAAGACTTCAGCAACCAACTTTCCCAGTGTGCATTAAAACTCCCTTCACCGTTTAATGCATAGTGCCCTATAATGATAAAGGTAGTCAATCACACCAGAATAGTTTCCACATTCAAGCTGAAATTTGGCATAATACTGACACAATGTTTAATATGGTCGGAGTTGTTCCAACAACAACAAAAAAGACTTATCAGCAGATGCCATGCATCTACTTGTGATGCAACCAACACACTAATCAACCACGAAACCGTGAAACAGTCTCATTTCAAAGAATCGAAATAACCACAATGTATCTAACATTTATATATAAAATATCAGGATCCACCAAGTCCTCGTAGCACCAATACTTTATAAAGAATATTATAAGTGATATCTTTCCCCGGTAAAGAGACTTGACATGTCTCTAGGGTTTGACAAACCAATTTCCATCTAAAACTCTCCCGTGCCAATTCACTTTGGCTGGCTACTCGCCTACTCCCAGATAGTGTTGGGACTCTTTGGGACGAGAGTACACGTATGATAGTTCGAGACCAGGTGACTAGGATTATGATAGAGTCGTGAACTACGTTCACTCTCCGTAAAAAATATTTCCATCCTCAACAAGTCTAGGGTTGTAGGAAATTTCTTCGTAGGATAAAACTATCACCACTTTAGAATCCAGGCTTAAGAAGCTAAATCATACTTAGAAGCATTTGGAAGAAAGAAGAAGAATATGTTTGATTGTCTGTGGCATCATGCACCCCACACACATATTTATAGGGGCCGAATCCATGCATTTTTTCATGAAAGGTTGCATTTATCCATACGAAAGGTTGTCTTTATCCATATGAAATGTTGTCACTATCCATATGAAAGGTTGTCCTTATCCATATGAAGGGTTGCCTTTATCCATAAGGTTATCCTTATCCATAAAATAATGCAACCGCCACTAGGCCAAAGGGATCTGTCCCTTCACGGAATTAGAACATCGGTTCGGTCGGTCTAATCCCAAACCGGTTGGTCGGTCCAAACCAAAACCGATTTGACTTGGTTAGTCCGGTTCAACCAAATTCCCAACATTCCTCCCCCATTTTAGTGTATTCATAGAATTCACTAAAATCACAACATTTTTCCAACAAAACTTAAACATAAATGAAAATGTCGTGACGATTGAATTTTCATCTTAGTATATTACACTTGACAAATATTCGAATACAAAGGGAGGTGTGTACTAGGATATCTCTAAGGCACATTGTATTGATTTATAGTGGTCTTTCCATCCATTTTGGAAGAATTCGTTGATGTTAGTTGGATTTCCCATGCTAAAGGTGATACTTTAACCTCAAGATTAGTCCTCTTGCTTGGGGGAGGTGCCATATTTTGGGCCTCTAGAAATCAAACTTCCATCACTAGTTCCACTATGGAGTCAAAGTTGTGACCTTGATTTCTCTTAGAAAAGAGGCATTATTGTTAAGATGCTTGGTTTATGACATTAATTTATGGCAAAACCAATCTCACCTATTACTATTCTTAGTGATAGTAATGCTACTTTGGCTAAGGCATATATGCCAAGTG